TGAATAGGAAAATGAGGTAGGGGTATATATATGCATGTGTGTGTATAATTTAAATGAAGTTCCACCACTTGGTAGATAATGTTTCCTCCAAGAGCCATAGATTATTTAACAAAATCTCTAATACCAGGAATGAGAAACCTCCTTTCAAGGTGTAAGTTAAAACAAGGAACAGGACAGAAGCCTACCACAGAGGGCTTCTGAAAGAGTTTACCTTGAAGGGTATCAAAGCAGAGGCTGAAACTCATAGCCAAACTTTGGGCAGAGTACAGGGACTCTTATGAAAGAAGGGGGAGATAGAAAGACCTAGAGGAGACAGGAGTTCCACAAGGAGAGGAAAACAGTTCTGGGCACAGGGATCTTTTCTGAGACTGATACTCCAACAAGGACCATGCATGAAGATAACCTAGAACCCCTGCACAAATGTAGCCCCATGGCAGCTCAGTATCCATGTGGTTTCTCTAGTAAGGGAAACGGACTGTTGCTGACATGAATTCAGTGGCTGGTTCATTAATGACTTCCCCTGATGGGGAAGCAGCTTTACCAGGCCACAGAGGAAGACAATGCAGCCACTACTGATGAGACCTGATAAGCTAGAATCAGATGGAAGGGGAGGAGGACTTCTCCTATTAGTGGACTGGGGGAGGGGCATGGGAGGAGAAGAGGGAGGGAGAGGAGGATTGGGAGGGGACAAGGGAGGAGGTTATAGTTGGGATACAAAGTGAATAAACTGTAATTAATAAAAAATAAATCAATTTAAAAAATAAAAAGAGTACAAAGACAATTGCTGTTGTCTTTTATTCATTCTCGACTTTGAAAATACACCCTGTTGCTGAAGGCATTCTATATTTAAGGCTTAGGATTTGGAGGAATTGAGCTAAAAGTGACCTAGAAGCCTCCTTCCTGAGAACTAGCTCTCACAGTATATAAATATGCTATGTAAGCTGCCGCAAGGTGCAATAGTTTCACTTGTATCTTGGAGGTAACCAGCAGTCCTCTAACTAGGGTGAAAGCAAATTCAATAGGAGGGAATTTATGCCTGATACAGTAAGTCTAACTAATTTACTGTGGTTGATGAGGTCAAGACCTTAAAGGAGAATCTACTCCTGACATTTTTCTAAATTGCTATACTTTCTAACTACATTCGAAATACCTATCCCTATACCTACAGGTAAGTGTAGATCTTACCTCCACATCAAAGTCACTTTCCTTAGCAGTAGATGGAAACCATTAAAGAAATCCACAACTGTAGGGTGCCCAGCCCAACTTGATACATCTATAACACAATGAATGAATATACCTAATGCTCAGGAAACATCACAGAAGAGAAAGTAGATTGATTGTGAGAGCCAGAAGATAAGGGTAGCTGCAGTGAGGTAGTGTCTTCTCTATATGATATAGAGCTGCACTCATGAAATCATAACCGTGTAGTCACCTCAACATGAAATTCACAATGATAACACCAGTTGACATGTCAACCAGGGTGTGAAAAATATGACAATGCACCACCACTGGGTGAAAAACTACACAAATTAATGACTGCTTAGAGAGGGATATTCAGATGATTCTATAGCTCTAAACACTTTGTGCATATGAACAATATAAAGAGAACTCATCAGGATGTATTTTTATGTATGTACACACTCGTACACACACACACACACACACACACACACACA